GTGTGGCCCCAGCAGGGCTGTGAGAGCTGTGGGAGCAGTAATGCTGTGCAGGGGACATGTGTGTGCCCATGGCAGGGCTGTGAGAGCTGTGGGAGCAGTAATGCTGTGCAGGGGACAGGTGTGTGCCCGTGGCAGGGCTGTGAGAGCTCTGGGAGCAGTAATGCTGTGCAGGGGACAGGTGTGTGCCCGTGGCAGGGGCTGACATTGTCTGTGCCACCTGTGAAGCCGTGACAGCGCAGCAGTCCTGCTATTTACCTGCATCTTTTTAACCCTTTAGCAACTCCTAGCACTGCTGCCAGTATTTGTTAGCAAAGGGGAAATAAATACTGAAGTTAGATGTGGCCCTGTTAGCTGGTGGCAGTAAATAGTTTACATTTGCAATCAGGTATTTTTGCCATCTGTCAGCTGTCTCCCTTTGCAGTGAAAAGGGCTGTTTGCTTATTAGTACAAGCTGATGGACTGCACATGCTTCCTCCTGAATAGAAGCTGTGCTGCTTTCATGTACAGGGGGAAGAGAGAGCCTCTGGTTGTGTCTAAGTGCTGTTCTTGGATGGCTTTGATGGGCAGGGGACTGTTTTCTTGGGCCATTAGGAGAGAAACAGAATACATGGTTGTGAGTTTTGGGGAGTTGTTAAATTATTTGATTAAGGAATAATAGTTCTTTCTCCTTCTCCTATGAAACATCATTTGCCACATCAGCAGTGATGCAGCAGTGGCCTGAGCTTAGTTTATTACTGCCCAAAGTAGCTCAAAATCTTTGACTAGTATAGGCTTTCAGAAATTTCAAATTCTTGCTTTCTTTTCCTCGCTGTGTTTTCCAGTTAGGAAATGCAGACCTCATTTTATGATTTTTCACTGGTTGAAACCAATTCTTATTTTGATAATTGCAATTCTGTTTTGTTTTGTTTTTAATTTAAACTGATTTTGTTAAACTCTAATAAAGTATAAGGAATCCTAATCTCTGGACCCACATTAAATTCAGTAGGAGATGAAAAGTAATTGGTACACATTAAAATAGTAAGTCTTTAAAATCCTCTTTGGTCTACATATTTATCTGTTTTCAAAAACATTTTAGGGAATGATGGATTATAAACTTTGAGGTCACCAAATATATTTTAGCTGTATTGGCACACGTATATGATAGACCACAGCTGCTTGTTGCTGGCCCTGGTGTTGCTGCCTGTGCAGTGTGGCAGGCAGGTGCTCCTGGTGCTTTGCACTGGTGTACAGTGAAATGGGCTGGAAAATTGTGCTGATTTGGTTTATAAGCAGCTTTTCAAAACGATGAATTACAGTTTCTCCAAATATATGATAAAATGAGTCTTTTGCTTTTGCTGATTTCATGATGAACACGTGCATGGCATCACTTTTAGGAACTGAGAAGTCTTTCACAGAATCACTGAACAAGCTCAGTTGGAAGGGACCCACAAGGGTCATTGAGTCCAACTGGTGGCCCTGCACAGGACATCCCCAAGAGTCACCCCATGTGCCTGAGAGTTGTCCAAGTGCTTCTTGTGCTCTGTCAGGCTTGGTGCTGTGAAGCCTCAGTTTTTACTAACAATTTATTTCTACACATTGAAATGGTTAATGTTAAGGAATAGGAAGAATAAGATTCTGTTATCATGGCATGTTTTTTTTTTCTTAGAATGCTAATCTGTTGTAACCTTCCTAAGCTATAGGACACCATTGCTATTGTGAAAAAAAAGCTGTGGTTCCCTGTAGACTAATAAAAGCAATGTTCCTGGGTAAGTCAGTGCCCAGATAAGGTTTCAGGCTCACATTATTTCTGCTCATGTCAACTTACTAGTTCTTTATTGAAAAGAATTATGTTTCTCACAAGGCAGTATGCTGTTCTGTCTAGCTGATGTTTTTTTCTGGTGCACAGGATGGTCACAGATGTGAAGGACCAAAGCTACTAAGAGTGGAATAAATAACAAGGGAATGTTCTTTAGCAGCTGGTATGAATATTAGTAATTTATTGAGAAGTGAAAACATTAAACTCTGTGGATTTCAGAATAGCTGAATCTTTCTTTTTACCAGAAAAACAGCCATCTAAACATGTGGTAAAGAAACTGACTTACATTCATAGAAGAAAACAATAGAGAACTAGATGCTTATAGCATGCTGAATGTTGTGATGGGATGTGGTACTTTGGCTCTGGGAAAAACATTAATTATCCTTTCTTAAGGATACTGAATATTTTGGAAGGGATTTGTGTGGGTTTTAATAGACTTCTTGGTGCTAGAGGTTTTAAAGTACTTATGATGGTTTTAGATATTAATCACAGTGAAGATCTACAGTTTAGGATTTTAAAAGTCTGAAAACTGCGTCTGTCATTTTCAAAACAGTGGTCGCTTTTTTAGCGCATGTTTCAAGTGCAACTTCAACAGAAATGTCTATAATCTCCAGAATTCAAAAATCTTTATTACTAGTCTTAAAAAGACAGTTTTCTTTAGCATCAGCAAATAGATTTAAGCTACCTGAATTTTTAATGCATTTCCAGTTGTAATAAAAATAGATTATGTAGATTATGCAGAAGAGCAAAATAATGCTTATTTGCTATTTTTAAACCAAGGAGAAATACAGCTTGGATTTAGTAAAGACAAAGGGAGTTTTCAAATCTCTTGCTCCAAATGGATTTGACATTTTAAAATCTTTCAAACTAATGCATGTAGTATGGAATCCTAATTATGGGAATTTTTTCAATCATTTCTGTGTGCTGTTAAATTCAGATACTTCTTGCCATGCTAGCTGTGTTTTGTGTTGATCAACCAAAATTTATTGGGTGTATTCCTTTGTATACTCTTGTTGAATATGTATTGTCCCAACCTACTGTAAATATATAATGTGGTAAAATATTTGGTAGCATAAGGCTATTTACAGTACAGGAGAACAGTGAAATGCCAAATGTCTAAACAGAATATATACCTCCAGTATGTTCCTTTGGAGTTTATGGCAGTGGTATCTCTAAATTAGAAACACTTTATGTCTTAAAAAGTAATAGTTTTCATCATCACTAAGAAATAGTTGGAGATTTATAGGTGAGCAAATCAGCATTTCAGTTCATGTTTCAAAGTGTAGTAGCCTCAAACATAAACCCACTGAAACCTGACTGAAGTTTGTGTTAACTGGAATTGTGTGTTGTGTCCCCCTAGGAGGAACAGGCTGCTAAACTGAAAGCTGAGAAGATTAGGGTTGCATTAGAGAAGATTAAAGAAGCACAAGTGAAAAAGGTAAGTTAGTTATACCAATTTATTAGATACTTTATTTTTTTTTTTCCACTTGGAAAATGCAGGCAAACTTCATTTGTGTCTATTATCCTTAAGTTGCCCTTTATAAAATAGGAGCACTATAGTGTTCTAATCTTCAGTGGTAATGTGTTTTCCCATCTAGATTGAACCTAATCAGGAAAATCAATAACATTGTGTTTTTCTAAAGGAATAACTTGTTTTTCAGCTAGTGCTCATTGGGAAGATTTTACCAACTTCCAACCAGAACTGAAATGAGGGTCCAGCCTCCTGAGATTGTTCTAGTATATTCTTCAGTCACATGTTTAAAATTTGTGCCTGTTTTCTTCACAGCCTTTTCTTCACAAGCCTTTTCCCATTATGCATAGCAGGATTTGCCAGTGCTAAGTGGAAGAGAAGTATTCCAGGCTAAAGACAGTGATTACCAAATGGAGAAAGTCTACTGCTACTACTTGATGTTCTCTCAAAGAATATAGAGTGCCCTTAAAATTTAGCGTTTTTATTTTATGACGGGAGTTTTTCAGTAGCTTAAAATGCCTTTTGCATTAACTGTTTGTAGATCAAAAGCCAAAAAACTGTCTTGGCTAGAAGATGGGAATTAATGAGTCAACCAGTGCATTAGAGCTAGTAGGTTTTATGTTTTCCGGCTGAACAAGATGTAAAAATGGAAATAATAATGATTAGCAAAAAAAAACCCCAAAATCTATTGTCTTAAGTATTTTTATTGGTAAAATTGGTTAAAAGTATTGGTTAAAAAAAAAGGCTGGATTTCTGTTTCTGGACAGTGACCTCTTTAAAATGCCTATGAAAAGCCACTGTGTTTTAAAAGCAGATTTTTTCACACTACTGTTTCATATTCCCCAGAAAAGTAAGGTTTAATATTAGAAAATACTGTAGGAAGCAGGCAGAAAGCTTAAACTTGCAAATCTGAAAAATTCTGATTCTTTGTAAGCTTGTGCAGAGCTCTATATATATATATCTATGTTTGCTCCACCTAGATGTTGTCTGAAAGACACTTTATTATCAGAACAGGACACTTCAGCAGGAAGGATTTTTCTTCCTTCTTAACACACAACTGAAGGACTTTCTCATTCTGTTGGAAAGACCTTTATATTTACTTTCTTGTGCTGAAAGAGAACAGTATCTTGTTAAGTGTCCTTGATACAAATATCTAGCCATCATTTCTGACTTCTTACATTTTGAGGGAGTGTTTTGATTGAATTTTATGCTACTGTAAGAAAACCTTAGAAGAATAAACAATATCTTAGAAACATTTTTATTTGAAGTGTGGTAGATTAATCCTTCTTTTTTTTTTCTTAATTTTCTGCTTAACAGTTGGTGATCAGAGTCCATATGTCTGATGACAGCTCAAAAACGATGATGGTAGATGAGAGGCAAACAGTGAGACAAGTATTAGACAATCTCATGGACAAATCACATTGTGGCTACAGTTTAGACTGGTCATTGGTGGAAACCATTTCTGAATTGCAAATGGGTAAGTAATTAAAGTATTTCTAATATTAATTGATGCAGCAGTAGCCTACATCCTCAGAATGATTTAAATACCTGTCTTCATAATGTTCATTATCCTGTTCATTAATGTAGTAAATGCTAATTCATGTAATAAAGCTCATGATTGACCTTGTTTCAGAATGATCTGAAAATTATTTCTTCTTTTATATTAAAAGCATGGGTAAATTCTGTGGTGTGATATAGAAGTCTTACTAATGTGTGGTCACTGAACCTCTTGAACAGAAGAAAGAAGTAAGGGATAAAAAAGTTATTGTGCTTCTTCCTCTTTGTAAATAGTATTTTCAATTGAACCTAATAACTCATATTGCATAAAGCTATCTACGTTTTTTCCCTGTTAAATATTTTAATGCAATTAGCAGTATTCCTCTAAAAGTAGTTAAAGCTTCTTTGTACATCATTGCACATACCACATTGCTTATTTAGCCAAAGGATATAGCATCAAAATGGAAAATAAGGGGAATGGTACGGTGCATCTTATCCATTGACTTTGATTAAAGAAAAACACAGAACTGATGCCAAATACCTTGATTTCAAGCTACAATGAAAGTCATTGTTTCCTCTGTCTTTTGGTGAAACCTTGTCTATATTAGGTAGTGTAGCATGCCAAATGGTTGTTGTGGCCTGACAGGGTATTCTTTAAATCTTCTACCTATCACGTGAAAACTGACATCTTACAAGGCTCAGGAACTTAAAAGTTTAATAAACTGTGTTCTTGTCATGAGAGTTGATACAGTTTGAAAGCTATCCAGTTTCACTAATAAAGCTGTAGTGAGATGTAAACTTTTGTATCATAGTCATCTGAAGCTTTTTTGTTTTATTCTTCTGTTAGGTAATGACTTTTTTACTTTATTGGAAGGCAACTGCTGCTGTGTTGTTGTAGAGCTTGATGGAAGTAATGAATTGTAACTCAGAAGCTTCTTAGACTGAACTCAGAGACCGCAGTAATGTGTTGTCATCTGACACTCACTGCAGATGACATTTTGTTGAATTCACACTAACATGTTGAGATGTCATCTGAGTCTTCATTAGCAATAGCTTCTAGGTTGTGATCAGCCATATATACACTCTGTAAGAATGTGGAGGAATTGATTTTGTGGGAAAAAATCATGTTCTACTTCCAGGTGCAATTGAAAGGTCAAGCAGGTCCCAGAGGATTCTGAAAAAGTTAATTTCCTGAAATGCCACTGTGTAACCTGTATGAAGAAGGAACAAATTGTAAACAGCTAGATTCTACTTCAGTGTGTTTGAAAGGATGAGGAAGTTGGTCTAGTGGTTTCCCAAAGATTTCTTCTTATTTACTTTGCAATGAGGATTTTCAGCTATTTTCTACCATTTCAGTAAATTTTCCTCTTTACTGTGTTCTCTTTTGCCTATTTTCAGTATTCTGAAGTGTTAGTATTAGGCACTAATGGTAACTTTTTCAATGGAGAGTCAAAGCTCAGGGCTTTGACTGAGAACCAAAGCTCTCAGAAGCTGTTGTTGATACATCATTTATTGGGCAACTCATTTATTGAGATTATAGGAAGTAGACAGTATCAGTTTTCAGACTTCTTTACAATACCACTACTAGCCATGGGTATTCTGCATTTCAGAAGCATTTTGTTTTCCTTCTGATCATTGCCCACTACTTTTTGATACTTTATGAGTGAGATAGTTATTTGGGATGTAGAAACAAGTTTTGTGCCAAAAAACCTGCCCAATCCACTCTTCCGGGAATTATGTAGACCAGAAAACACATAAATGTGATAACCTTCTTATTTGTCCTCATAAACTTTGAAATGTTATCGTTTGAGTCTGCAGTGTTCCTGTGGGATGGTAGGCCTTCTCAGATAAAAAAAATAAAAACATTTAATCTGTTGATGGAACTATAAGCTTGAAGATAAGGGAAGTCCATGTTGAGTCACTGGATGTAAAAAAATTAAACCAGGCATGTCTGGAAGTGGACTAAGTTCTTTTAGTCTCTTAGCATAGCTAAAACTTATTTCCCATTGTAGTAGATCTTGAACTCTATTTCATATATTTCATATATGTTAATAATTATATTAACATATATTTCTTTGCATATATGCCTTGTCTCTTGTAAATTACTACAGATTAGTTTCTACCACAAAATGCAACAGATTCCAATGTATTTGCTCACTTGTTATTGCTGCAGAAAGAATCTTTGAAGATCATGAAAATTTAGTTGAAAATCTCCTGAACTGGACAAGAGATAGTCAAAACAAACTAATGTTTGTGGAACGTATAGAGAAATACGCACTTTTCAAGAATCCACAGGTAAGCCTGAGATTTGTGCTGAGTGTGTGTGTTGGCTGATTGCAGTTCCTTGCTTTTTTGGTAGCATTCATTTCCATACTTTCATTTTGGTACTTGTGTATGTGTTAAAATGCCAGGCAACTTTACGCTTGACTACATACATTCGTAGTGCTGTTGGCACAAAGTCAATCCCTAAGAGACAACCATGAGCTGAAGCAATCTGTTTGCTAATGTGTTTGTGAATAATTTTAATGCACATGAAGCCAGGCAATTTCCAGGGATTTACACCCATACTTAGTGCTGCTCAATTATGTAAATATGCAAGAAAGGTGTTGACAGATATTGCTAATAGTAATGTCTCTCCACTGTGCACTGTGCTGGCAAGAAGGGGAAGACAAAATCTAGGAGAATAGCTACTCCATGGTCAGATGGCAAGTGAAGAGTGTGTGTACCTTCCTGTGGAAGTTGTGACCTGCCTATTTTCACCTGTGTTTCCTGCTCCATGGCTAGGAAACTAAAAGCCCTTTTTCCTCTCAAGTGGTCTCAAAGACCTTTCTTCTCTCAAATGGTAACTACAGACCTGGTGTCTGGCAGCACTTCAGTATTGCAGGGGAGTGGAGGAAAAGAAACAGAAAAGCAGAAGGCTTTTTTCTCTTTGAAGAATTTGCATTGAAAATTCAATTGATCTCTGTCTTAACTCATATTTAATTTATTTCCTTGTGAGCTGATAGAATATTTTTATATCCGAATAGCATCTATTTCTAATTTATTGGTTTTATACTTGGTATCAGTTTTGCATGTTCATCCTATGGGACATCAGTTTACTTGATTTTATTTATTTTTAAGATCTAAAAACCAGGTCTTATGCAAGTGCTTTGCACTGAAGCACTGAAACTCTACATTCTTTTTAAAAGTTTGTAGATTATAAGTTTACTATCAGTACATATAGTAGGCACTGTCACCGGAGTGAGGTACCATTCAGCATAAACCAAATATTTCTCCTTGCTTTAAAATGTTGAACTTGCAAAACTTTGTGAATATTTGGATTTTTTCCAATATTAGAGCTAGGGGTTAGATGTTTTTCATTGTCCCAGTCTTTTCTAAACTGAGCAAGAGTAAAAACTTACTTAATAAGAAATGGTGCCTGTGCATAATTAAGTTCCTTTTAAGAAGTCAAGTATTTTATTTAGTAATTCTTTCTGAAAATAAATATTTTTCTTCAGCAAAACTCAGACCAAGGTGGAAAGAAGTACATTGCTTCTATGTGTGCTTCTTTGAACACAGAAATAACGACAGTATGTAACAGATCTCTGGGGTTTTTTTTATTTTTATTGTGGTATTTACAAGTTCATAGTATTTTTATTTCTGGAGCATTGTAACAGAGAGCTGTTTGATCTGTGGAACAGCAGGATGATGTTGTTATGAGGCTGTTAGGTAAGAGCTTAGGCTGCTTGATATTTCTGGTAAAGGTGATTATAAATTACTTCAATGTATTGTTTGGCAGTCTGACAGTTTCAATTGGTCTGCGAAGTTCTGTTCTTACTGCTACGGAAAAATAAACAAGAAATGTCATTTGGCTTGATTTCAGAATACCTATAGAAATATTAAACTTTCTTCTGTTACAGAACTATCTTCTGGGGAAGAAAGAGACCTCTGAGATGGCAGACAGAAATAAAGAGGTGCTGCTAGAGGTAAGAATGTCAAACCAAAAAGGATACAGTAGTCATTTTGGAGCTTGAAGACAAACTGCAAAAAGTTGTGGTGGTGGAAGCTGATGGACAGAGCTGAATATATTTCTGGAAGATTGTGAATGGAGTGTGTTTGAGATAAATGGCTGTTTTAATTTAACACTGTTTCTGATGTGATCAGTTAAAAAAAGTTTCTGTACTTCATTTAGTATTTAAAATGCCATACGCAGTGGTAATCAAATTGAGGTTGCCTGTAGCTATGGCTAAAACCATTAATTTTAAGTTGAAATTTGCAGGACTGTCACCTATTTTTTTGATCTGTGGTGGTAGAGAATTTTTACTAGCACTTTCTAAATTTTTATTTCTACAGAATTCTAGAGCATGGGTCTGGAGACTGGTCTAAGTTAATATTTCAAATTTTGATAATAAACAAAGTAGTAAAAATTTTTTTCAATTATAATTTTAAATTAAAAAAGCCCAAATATTGAATTTTAAGAAATGCATGACAGAAAACTAATTATTACCAAGCACATTAACCAGTTTACAAAAATAAGAGCATAAAAGTATGGAGCAAATAAAGCAAACAGTAAATTATAGCCTTCATAAGCTGAAAACTAAATATTTTTGTGACATGACTGAAGTGCCATAGGTTCCAGTTGATTTCCAGGATGATTATGATTTACATAGTTACCCAAAGGTAAATATTTAGGGTATTTCATTTTGGATTAAACTTAAAACAGTTTAACTTATAAGTAGCATATGCATGTTACTAGTATGTTGTTAATGTGGGTTTTAATAAGCGGGTGTTTGTATGTATACTCTGGATGAAAAAATTGTTTGAAGCCAAAACATGCAGAGAATTCTGCATAATTCTTTCTGTCTTCTAGGATTATTTCTAAGTCTCTGTGCTGCATATTAATCTGGAGTGTATTTAAAGCACTTGGTTTAAAGCACCCTATTGTGTTCGTCTGAATTACCTTATTGCTTCTATGATTAATCTGCAGTTCATATTTTATGTGAAAAAAGAGCTGTCCCTGATGCAAGTGCATTCCTTGGATAAAGAATTTCAGTCATTCAAAACAAACGACTGCACGCTCTCTGTTCTGTTTCCCAAACTGCTGTGTTTATTGGCAGGAATGCTTCTGTGGAAGTTCTGTAACTGTGCCAGAGATTGAGGGAGTTTTGTGGCTGAAAGAGGATGGTAAGAAATCTTGGAAGAAACGTTACTTCCTTCTTCGGGCTTCTGGAATCTACTATGTCCCTAAAGGGAAGGCAAAGGTATGCTGCTTAAAGCAATTGCTATGAATTGTTTATTGCTTTTAAACAGTGCACACAAGAGTTGGCTTTAAGCTTTGGTTTAGCTGTGCCTTTCCAAGTGCCATATCCCTTAATTAAAAGGCTGGCTTTATTATGGAAATATGGGTGAATTTTTGTGGCAGCACTTGATGTGAAGGGTGTAACCCCAGTTTAAAAATACAAGAATACAGGGGTCTGCTTCTTGACTTAGATTAAGAGTTAGGTGTTCAGAAATACTTGAGGAAAAGCTTTGGGTGGAGCTAAGAAGCTGGTCTTTGCTCAAGCAGAATTCAGACAGAGGACCAAGTTGCTCTGTGAATGTTGTACCAACTCCACAATCAGTCTGTATAATTTCATTATGTTTAGTTAGTTCATATAAATGGGATTCTTTTTGAACCAATTGGTGCTACATTTTTTGAAACTGGTAAATGTAATTCCATTTCTTCAGGATCACTTACTGCTGTTCTCTGTATCAGTAATGTAAAATAAGTAGAAAGCCACTACAGATACATTATGCAGCTTCAAGGCTGAACTGCTGTGAGTTCAAGTCATTCATGAATCCATCAGTCTTGACAGCATTAGATGATTCCCAGTACAGGAAGTCCACCTCCCACACATCTGGAATCAAAGAGGAAATCTCTATCAGCACAACAGCTCCCTTTAGAGCTGAATGCATGTCAGATATTCTTTACATAATCTTTTGCTTCATTAAAACAATCTGCATGCAAGTAGCCTGTTGAAATTCTTTTCCCTACACTCATTGCCAAGCATCTTTAAAATTCTACTCACAGTCACACTGGAATTTGAACACCTTGATTATTACCAAGGTGAAATGTAACCAGCAGCTGATAACTTCCAGATCAACCAATCATACTTACTTTCTCCTGATACCTGCTCTGAGTAAACATTAGCAGTCCAGTGTAAAACATTGTCAAAAGGCAGAATGCAGACAAAACACAAAACCCAGACTGAACTGAGTTAAAAATGAAGGTGTGATAAAAGTTTATGCATAGCTGTATCTCCTTCTTGTCTTGGTAGTTTTTGAATCAGATTGAAACTAATATTTGACCTTAACTAGACCTTATATTAGCATTGGATCTTAGCATTAGTCTGATAGTGTCAATGTGTGTGGATTTTTATAAAGCTCCTTTGTAAATGACTGTTTTTGTCTTTACTAGGTCTCACGGGATCTTGTGTGCTTTCTACAGCTAGACCATGTCAGTGTTTACTATGGACAGGACTATCGGAACAAGTACAAGGCACCCACAGACTACTGTTTAGTGCTAAAGGTAACGCTGCAGCAGTTGGCTATACCTTGAATATACTCTTGTTCTGAATCTGAACCATCAGCTGCTTTTCATTTCATTTTCCTCTAGTTCCTGTATACAATGTGAACGGTTAGCGAACAGTTGTTGCCTGTTCTCTGTGCTGGTTGTGACTTCATGAACATTTTCAGATTGCCCTGAATTGTTTTATTTCCAGACTGATGCATGCTAGTCTATTTAATTGTTCATTATACTCTAAAATATACACTAAGGTCTTCTTTTCCATTTGGCAGCTCTATACCTTACAGCTGTTTAGGTTCAAAGAGATAATACCCCTTGAAATGCTAATTCCAGGGAGTTATCTTCTCAGTGTAGGTCCAGAGTAGTGCAGAAATTGATGTTAAAGATTCAAGTATACCATTTATGGACCAACCTGAGGGAAAAGGGCTGCTGTAAAGGAGGCATCTTCTGAGTATAAAGGACAGGTAGAAAGAACAAGTAACAAAAACAGTTATAAAACCAGTGACCTGATCTTAAACAGATCTAATAACTTGAGTACATCAAGTTATTTTAATTGCATCAACACATCTCCTAGTTTCTGTTGACTCCCACATAGTGTTCAGAATGGTGTCAGTTCCTGCAAGATAGCTGGGTACCAAGCTATTTTAAAACAGACTTTCACACTGTGTTCACAGCAAGTAATGTATCTTCCTGGATTTGAAATAGTGCCAGTAACAAGAGATGGTTATAGTTGCACTTTTCCCCTCCCTGCTCTGGAGCTCGTGTGGTGTTGTACATGTCATTAGACCATTTACTGTGCCTGGAGTGTGTGGCTGCCAGTCCACTACCTGAAAAAGGACTTCATTTTCCCTTGGACAGGGCAACATTTCTTGGAGATACTGAGTATTAAATATGGAACATGGTATTACTGGAGAAAGTACACAGCTGAAAATGGAAGTACTTTTTATGTTCTTATAGGTCATTGAATGCAGACAAAAATGTCAGTATTCGTAGGTATATATAAATTCTATAAATATAAATTCTACTTACATGTCACTTTTGTCTATATCATTTGAACAGATTAATATTAAATTATTTTTTCAGCCTTTTTGACCACACAAAGTAGATTTTTTTAAAAAAATTATTGCCATTCTGAACATAAAATTTAATAGTAATGTTAATGAAGACAAAATGTTTAGAAATTGTCCCTAAGTAAATTAATGTGGTAGATTAACACCAAGTAAAGCTGAACTTTCTGTGTGGAACTGATGAATCACCAAATTGTTGTATTAAGCAGGATTCAGTTCTTATAATGTTACATCAATATTTTCAATTAGTACAAATGTATAGAAACCGCACAGTTTGTAAAATAGAAATAGAGTTTTGTGCCTCACTAAGCAAGGTAGTATCTCCTCTGGGACAGGTGAATGGCATATACAAACTGAAGATCCAATTCTCTACTGACGTCCAGACTGGATTTGTCTTCACTCCTTAGTTTATATCAAAACTTAGTGTGCTCAAGTTGCTGTGCTATTGTTAAATGTAACATTTGTGTGCTAGTATATAAAGTTAATTCCTTGATCCTAAATGTCAGATTTCTGAGAAGTTCTTTCATTTCTATATAGCCAAATTTTTGAACAAGTCCAGGAAGAAGCTGGCTTGTTAGCAAAGTAATTATATTTGCTTCTGTAGACTCTTCTTTATTGTACAACATGTGTGTGAAGGAGGCTGGTAGTGAAAAATGAAAACAACTATCTACTGTCATGAGAAAATTTGTTATAAATATTTTGTTTATGGACATAAACATATTATGTTCATTTTAAAATAATTGTGTTGGAAGGCAACAGGATAAAACATTGTGAAAAAGCTTAAAAGTTTTTTGATCTATTTCAGACAGTCTTCAGTAAAGCTTAAATACCTACAATCCCCTAGCAAAACTCCGTTGTGTCACTGAGCTGTAAGCTAACAGATGAAATGATTAGAACTGGAGTATCCACTTACCCCAGCAGCTGAGAGACCTGTAGCTTCTACAGCATGGACAGGAAACAGCTGAATCCAGAATGATTTCTAGTGTCTGATTTTTGAAAAGCATGCCTTTGTTTCTTGACTGCTGAATTGATAAATACAGTACCTTTACATTTTTTATGCATGCATGTGAGAGCATCAAGTATCTTCAGATGATAGCCCTGTGTCACTAGGGTGGAAACTTTGAAAGCTCTACAAGCTGAAAATGGAATTGTGCTTAACAGCATGCCATTTGGGGAGTGTCTCACTAAAGCCTGCAAAGGCAGAGAAGACCAGCGTGTTTGTTTTGTATGAGAGAAAGGTGAATTAACAGTTGTCTCTATCAAGTGGTGAGTTAGTCCATAGGTACAGAAGACTCTTGGTGGATAGAAAGTACTACAGCCCTAAAATAGTAAAAGACTTGCCCTTTCTTGGTGTTTCAAACTTAAAATCAATACATGCAGGACACACTGCCAAGTGTGTATGTGAAGCAATCCCTAATGAAATTCACCTCCTGAAATATTCTGGAACATTTTTAAGTGGGCTTAAATACAGCCTACTGTTGAAGAGCTTCCAGCATTATGTTTATCTGTATAGACCTCAACAAAAAAATGCTTTCCTTGCATTCCTAGCTATGAAAACTTTGATGAGAACGTGCAATTTCTTTTGCAGCATCCTCAGATCCAGAAGAAGTCCCAGTATATCAAATATCTTTGCTGTGATGATGTAAGAACTCTACACCAGTGGATCAATGGCATCCGCATTGCTAAGGTAACCCCCAGACAGTCTCAAGCTGTTGTCATGAGTAGTTGTCATCACCTGCTTAAAACCATTTACAGCTACTTAGCAAAGTACATGGTAAATCTAACTTCCCTCTGTTTAACTATTCTGAACATGAACTGTAAAATCTTCTTATATTTTTCATTCCTTAGCAAAATTATGAGACTTCGTTATAATAATTCAGTAATGGAGCCTTTTCTTCTTGTTTCTGCTGCACTCTTTTCACATGACAGTTCTGACATACATCATGAATAGATTTTAGCCAGCTCCTTTCAGATTTTAAAACAGAAGGCTTATGAAAAAAGAGAATTTAGAAAATAGAGTTGATTTCCAAGATCCTCAGCTTGTCGTACTTTATTCATTGGGCTATTTCTTGCTTAACACTGTCTGTTCTAGTATAAATGAATTGTTTTTCTTTCTTTCAGCAGTTCACTAATACTATTAATATTGCCTGAACTCTTTAACATAGAGCCTGTATTGCTTTGGGGGGACTGGCAGGAGGAAAGATGTAGTAGAGAAGCTGGAGGTGGAGCTCAACAGTCTGAAAAGAGTGTACAGCCTATATGGAGTTGTTAAACTTGTTTGTCATTTTGCTTAGTACGGGAAGCAACTATACATGAACTATCAGGAAGCATTGAAGAGAACAGAATCAGCATATGACTGGACCTCCTTGTCTAGCTCCAGTATCAAGTCAGGCTCCAGCTCATCTAGTTTGCCAGGTAACAATGTTATCTATCTCATAATACAAAGATTCAATTGCCTTTATCATCTGCTGTCTGGATGCCTCGAGAGAGACTATTGCAGGAAATTGACTCTTTCTCCAAAGTCTTTCATGCTATGTTCTGTCTAAAACATTGACTTTATCTATAACATACATACATATATATATATATATATATATCTACACACACATACAGGTTAAACCCTATTTTGCTATATTACTTGCAGTGATGTATGTATTTGAAATATGTGGCACTTTCTTGTTCACCTCCAAAACCCAATATTTTTCTTGTACTGAGAGGAGGAAACCTCATTTCAAATTCCTGATGCCTCTATGTTTATCTATTTGAAAAATAAAATTTATATTGTAATGATGCATAGAACGTATATATGTAGTTCTTAAACTGCTTTGTTGACTGACATAGTTCAAATTGGAAAATGATGAATAGCCCCTGCCCAAAGACAAAGATCCAAACAATCTCTAGAGAAAACTTTGAAAATGCTGTTTTGGTTCCCATGTCAAATTGTGCATATCTGCATTAATGTGCTCCTGTGTATCTCTCAGCAGAACTGGGGCTGGTTTCTTGTTGCATGTAACAGTAAAAAAATCGATAAATGGTTCATACAGTGTAATTTCATTGTTCAGAGCTGTCTGATGCTTTGATGGGTTATTCAGAACCTTCAGGGGCTAGGTTCTTTATTGAAAATGTGCTGTTGTGTTAAGATGTTTTGTCTGCCACAGATACAGGTTGGGAAGTAATGCTACTGAATTGGACAGGTTCAGAAAGTAGCCTGTAAGAACGAGCTAAGAAAATGTAGCCTAACTGGGAAGGTATCTTGTTGTTTCAACTGTGTGGCATAGCAATAAATTCTTGGTTACTGACAATTCCTCCATCTAAGCTGGGTGTTTTTCTGATAAAATGTCAATTCTTGTAGGGAGCTGAGCCACAGCCCACCAACCATGCATGTTCTGCCAAAGTTGCATTCCAACCTGTGCCAGAGCAGTTTGGGGTTACACAGAAAGCTGGTGCCAGGCTACATAAATTGGTCTGGCAGTGCCTGCTGCTGTTTTGTCAAGACACCCTGTGGACCCAGAGCATCATCTGAGTTGGCTACTTGCAGGATGCACACCTGTCCTTCTCTTGTGTTGAGGAATGGCAGTGTCCTCCCTTGGTTAGTGCAGTTTGCCTGTCCACAGCCTGTGCCCAGGGTCCATTTTTAAGGTTGTGCTGGGAGGGGGTGCTGGAGAGAGCAGGCTATGTGCACTGCATGAAATGGGGCTTTTCCCAAAGCGCAGGGATGAGGCATAGTTCAGGACCCATACAGCTGCAGTGTGATTTTACTTTGAAACGTATCTGACATGCCCTCATCCTTGTGCAGCCTCAGGTTTGGTTAATACCAGGCATCTATTGCACTGTTTTATTTTCCAGATGGTAATGGCCTGGATGTGAGCTAGAGCTTGTGCACTGGGAGCAGTGTCCTCTGGGGACAAGTTTGACAAGTCACACAGAGTTACGTTATAAGCATACTGACACTACTCTTACATTCAGAAACATATGCTAACACTTCCTTAACTTTTTTTCTGAACAGAATCTCAGTCAAATCATTCTAATCAGTCTGACAGTGGAGTTTCTGACACCCAGACAGCTGGACATGTCCGTTCCCAAAGCATTGTCAGCTCCATGTTCTCTGAGGCCTGGAAACGAGGCACCCAACTGGAGGAATCCAGCAAGGTAACAAGAAGACTTTAATTTGAGAACCAACGCCCAACAAAATATATGAGACAGGGCATTGTACCTCTTCCACCTCTGTCATGAGTGGCATTTCTTCTCTGTTTTATGTGGTTGATTTACACTGCTATATAATTGTTTTTTAGGATTCACTTCAGGTAATTCAGCCCTGCAACTTTCTGTTCTTTCTTTTATTTGTGTGCATAGAAGCTTTTTGTTCTTTGAAGGCATTATACAGCCCCTCTCACAGAGTCTTTTTTACTAATGTTGAATGAAGACAAAATAAAAAGATAAGCTGTTAACAAGTTGAATGAAATTATTTCATAAGATTTTTCTCCAGTTAAGTAGCCACATCTTTCCTTTGTAAAGATGTGAATAACTGGGGCCTGAAATCAGGTATATATATTTTGAAGTACTTCAATAACTTTTACTCAAAAGTTTTCTGTTATATTAGGTGGAAATGGAACCAGTAACCTCAGATATAGTCAAAACAAAAGTACTGATGTTGTCAGCTGTTGTGGATTAAGGCAGATGTGGTATCTCCTGTTGCTAGTAGAGAGTTACAAAAGACTTTAACCAATTGAGACTGGGTCTCAGGTATGCTGTGGTTTGGTTAGTTTTCTGTTCTTTCTGTGGTAAACTGTTGTAGTTCCTGGGGAAGATTTCCATGCACAGCAGAAATTCTGCTGAAGCTGGTTTGTTGCCAGGTATGAAGGAATCTCCAGGTCCCTAAACAGCCTTGATGTCATTAACTGTAGCAGCTACATGTGGAAGTGCACTATGAGAAGCTGTCAGTACTTCTGTCAGTTCTGAATCTTCCCCAGACCTCAGGTTCAAGCTAGAGAAGCAAGCTTTGTAAAACTAAAACCACAGGTCAATACACCTGGAACTGGTGTTTCAGATAAATAACTAAAGATAACACATCATCTTTTCAAATGAGAAAGCATATGTGAAAGCTGACATGGCTGCATCCTTTGGGATTCATAACATTTCTGCAGTGCTTGCTGGCTTGGAGGTTGTTTGATTCTAATAGTAATGTAGTACTCAGTCAAGGAATGTAGCTTGCTAAATTGTGGTCCAAATTTTTCTACTGCATGAGTGCAACATGTGGTGCATGTCCATAAGCAGATGGCTTCTGTGTGGGTATAAGGCGCATCATTTCTGCAGGAGTGAGCTGCACAAGATGGGACATTTGCTAGCAGGTGTCCAACAGAGATGAAAGAGTACTGCTGTGAGAATGATTATGTTACTGTTTCCTCAAGTCTTGGGTTCAGTGTAAATACTGCTGCTACGTACACTCACTATGAGATTTTTAAGCAAAAGATTAAAGTTCACTGCCTTGGGATTTCTGTTGTTTTTCATCAAGTCTGTAGTACTGCTGGCAATTGCTCATCTAATTAAACCCAAGAATTTTTATGATACCTGATTAAAACCATGTTAAAAATAAAATATTCAGAATGCTTCCTGTTGAGGGCCATCCATGTATCAAGATTTCATCCATTTGAATTCCTTTCTGCAAATCCAAGAAAAGGTATATTTCTTCACCTCATACGTAACTCAGGTAAATGGATTGCCCTAAAATTTCCAAAGAACCCAAATGAAATGAACTGTGTAAATTTACAAAAGCTGTGTTAAACCATTGAATGAATTGGTGAAAAATTTGCCTTCAGTGAAACTTCAGTGTAAATCTGGCCTGGGGAACTTGAATGACTAGGAAATCAGACTGGCAGTGGAAAATGTTAACTGTGTGACAAGAAAGGAAACAGCTGTGTTGAAGAATTGTAATTTACATGAGAAGGTGTTAACAGTGATACTGCCATGTGCTTTAGTCAGATTAGTCTCCAGTTACCTCAGAGGCAGCTTTGCTACAGTGCTTTCTTGGCTTAAGAAGTTCACGTGGGCAGGTTACTGCCTAGTGGAGAACTTCCCTGCATGTCCCTTCCCCTTGTGCAACAGCTCTCTCCCACCTTGTCAGCCTTGGCTCATTCCCCTGGGCAAGCAGGGCAGAAGAGAGCATGCTGTGTCTCCACAGGGAGATGACATTGGTGTTCTTTCCAGCCAGGGTGCTGTACTAGTGCCTTAACAAACTAATAATGATGGGTGAGGTCTGCCCACTTTTCTCTTATTTACCAGTTTGCAACAATTTCTTGAAGTCGAAAACATAAAAAGATTTCTAGAGATCTGTCATATTTGACTTAAATTTGCTAACCAGTCCAAAAGCATGGGAAAAGAGATGGCAAACAGTTCAATTGCAAAAGTTTGTTTTCTTAGGAAAAGATATCTAAAAAACAAAACAAACAAAAAAGTTAAAAGGCACAGTTGATATAAAAAGAGATCTTTTATGATATCTTGATATCATAATAATAATAATAATAAATGAGCTATTTATTTAGAATAGCATTTTTTTAGAATTCCAGATAGTCATGAAGATGCATGTTACAAATAGGAATTGCTGGTATGTGATACATAATTTCTCAAGATACACAGAAGGACATCATGTAATTATAAGGACAAAAAAAAAGGACAAATTAATCTCTCTCAGGGTTTTTCTGTAAACAAAGTATCACAGACTGTTTCTGGAGGTTGAAATTTAATTTGATTCTGTGGAGATGGGAGGGGCTCCCCCTCCTGGGATGCATAATAGTCTTTTCTCTGTCCTGAGTGTTTTGTTTGCTGTGAAGATGACTGTCTTCAATGGGTATAAGGAAAACACCTCCCTCTTTCAAATATTAAGAAGATTAAGAAAAACTTTTCCCAAAATGCAGATAATGCATCTACTTCATATTTTGAAAGCCTGCTTTTTGCCTAAATAATATTTTATTCATTTGTTCCCAGCTGGGCATGAAGAGCTCATTAAGGCTCATTTTGCTTGTTAGATTTTGAACACGTTATTTCAAATGGTATGCTACAACAAATACCCAAATGCATGCTCACTGTGTCTGCTTTAATGGACAAATTCAAGATTCCCCAAGGTCTTGCCACTCAGGGACAGCTATAGCTATTCTGTTATGCCTTCATCTTCCTCTGTCTCTTTTATGCTGCCTTTATTTTTCCTGTTGCCTTTTGCTGTCTCAGGTGTCAAAAGTGAAGCTCAGCACAACTAAGGGCAGCACACCCATGGTGCCTTATACAGGGCACAATTAAGGTCAGGTGGTGCTAATTGAAAATTCATTAACCTTGGATGATTGGGAGAATGGTAATTTACAGACTAACACTTGCAAGACATCAAGATTTCTGTTTTGTAATTTGAGCACCTTGATTTAGTTCCAGACCTGTTAATATTCTTGCCTTCCAAACCTAATGTGACAGGTAGAGGCACACCCCGTTTTGTTTTAAAATCACTGTTTATTGCTTCTGACTCTAATCCTTTTGGTGGAGTTCTGCACATACAGACACTGTGCACCTGTGTTTAGAACAAAGCAATATGTAAATGTGTTCTTCCCGTGCAGATGAGCATAACTGGGCTAACTTATTGCAACGTACCTACTAATAAGGTATAGGTACCCAGTGTGGTCAGTTGCCATGGTGGTGGTGTACTTCTAATGCATGTTTCTAGGCTGTGCAATGTAAAATTCACAACTTGGCTTATAGCCAAAACACTTTGTATTAGGAGGATGTTTATAAATTTGAGTGATGCAATTATTGTTTTAAGACTAAAGTAGGCTTACAGTTTTTGAGAAACAACTTAGCTTGAGCACATCCCTACGAGTAGACTAAAATACTGCCTGCTGCTTTCCCACTGATCCTTACATTAGTCAGCTTTTCTCTGTTTTTCCCTTATTTTTTCTGCTTAACATATGAGTTGCATGTGTAACTTTCCTTTCCCAAGTTCACTTTGTTTTGCAGATGTCTAAACATTTCCTTCTGGGTAAATTTCCCTAGAAAAACTTGGTTCTCCTTCTTTTCTCCCTATTTTTTCCTTGCCAGTCCTGGATAGCAGAGCACATGAAGGAAAAATATCTCAGTGCAGAGATTGCTCTCAGTGTGTTTTAGAGCAGTTCAGGATTTCTGCATTTCCAGTGTAAGGCCTGAACTAACAGATGTAAGGATTTACATGCTCTGGGAGACCGTGTGTGGTTTGATTCCAGTCCTACTGAGCTGAGATGTCCACAGAGTCTCTGGCTTTGGCTCTGTCATGGCCTGGGGTGCTTTGGGGGGGGCTCTGTTTGGGTCATTACGCTCGCCCAGAGGAGGCCAGTAATTCTCACTGGGTCCCACTGCCTGTCCCACAGAAGTAACGAGGCTGGCATATTTTCCCTCTGTCACTTGGCATCGTGTGGAGCAGAACTGGCTCCACCGATTTTTGCAGGCTCCCCTCCCGGCCTGCCCCATCCCCTTGCATGGTCCAGGCTTGTCAGTGTACGGAATTGTCTCTTGCTCCAGTGTTTTGCTAATAATTCTTGCATGCTGTAATCCGCCACTTTATTTTTAATGTCGGGCACATTTAGACCTTGACTTTATAATCTCTTTGTCTCTTTCCCTCTCTCCCTCCCTCCTTCCCTCTCTCGTCTTTTTCTCCCTTTCCACTTCGACTAAAAATCCCTTCCCCATAGGCCCGAGTGGAGCCTGCAGGTCGGCCTTTGGTGTCTGTCGCAGCTCCCGTGTCCCCGCAGACGAAAGCCGTGACCCCCTACACA